CGAGTCTCCAAGTGAGCATTACCGGATGAGGTATGCGACGATCTGTTCCAGATGACTACCTTGCTTGGAAGCTCTCTGTCATCTTCTGACAGGGGGTGTAAAGCTGCGTGCTCGCTCGCAGGGCTGAGTTCAGAGTCTGGCATGATGGATCAGATGCATACTATATCATGTTTCAGAAGGTACGGAACAGCGTTATCTCTATTCTGAAGACAGTACTACTTGTCGACGAGTCTCACATGTGTGGCCTGTTCATTGTAGCCTGCTGACAACTCAGAGCAGCGGCATGAGAGAGTCCGCATCGATCACTTCCCCGTGGGTTCACTGCTCATCAATGAGCTCATGAAGAAGCTCCTGGAAGAGGTCCACAAGCAGCCAGTGTTGAAGACAAAGCTATACCAGGTGCGTGGCATGAGCTTACACTGCCCATCCTGGTGAATCCTACAAGATGCTTCCTATATAAGCGCACTTGGCACTGGCAGGTGAATTTTCACACGACATTGACTGGGCATGCAATGGTGACCATGATCTACCACAAAAAGTTAGGCCCAGACTGGCAGGAGGCGGCAAAGAAGCTGCGGCCGGTCCTTGGCAGCTGCCCATCCAGCACGCGGCCATTCGTGGACATCATTGGGCGCAGCCACAAGCAGAAAGTGGAGCTGGAAACAGGGTTTGTCTGTGAAACGCTGTCAGTGGATGGACACAACTTTACTTATAAACAGGTAGGATGCAACATCTGTTCACCCTTGGCAGGCCCACACGCGAGTGTCAAGAGAAGTGTGAGTAAAAGTGTTGAGGATGCTGCAATGTTGCAGCAGCAAGTTGCATGACTTGATGGCTGTGCATGAGTGCAGGTGGAGGGTGCCTTCAGCCAGCCCAATGGCAGGATGTGTGAAAAAATGCTGACATGGGCGAGGGATGTGACCAGGAACAGCAGTGATCACGATCTGTTGGAGCTGTACTGTGGCAATGGCAACTTCACAGTGGCATTGGCATCAAATTTTAGGTTGCCTGCTGTCTATTCTCTGCAACTTTGTTATGGCCAAGAGCTTTCTGTTTCAAGGATGAAATAGAGGTTTGCTGCGAGGCACGAATTTTTGAGGGGTTGAACACTCTGCAGGAGAGTGGTGGCCACTGAGATGTCCAAGGCATCTGTAGCAGCTGCAGAGTTCAACTTGCATGCAAATGGTGTCTCCAACACCAAAATTGCGCGTCTCACCGCTGAAGAGTTCACAGCTGCTTGGACCGGCGCCAGAGAGTTTGAGCGCGCCAAGACCTTGGATTTGAAAGCTCACAACTTGCAGACAATTCTTGTAGATCCTCCGAGGGCAGGTAAGAAACATTTGTCAATAAATCCCACATGCAACTTCTCAAATAATAGGGGAATCTCTCAAATCACTTCTTGCCTGGATGCAGGTTGTGATGCAGACACTGCCACTTTGCTAAAGGAGTTCAAGAATGTGGTGTACATCTCTTGCAATCCTGAAACGTTGCATAGCAATCTGCTGGAGCTGAAGGACTCCCACAAAATAGAGCGTTTCGCAATATTTGATCAATTTCCTTACACTGATCACATTGAGTGTGGAGTCTACCTTACACAAAAGGATTAGCCAGAGTTGTATGAAGATGTTGATATCTGCTTAGCGATACCTCATGAGCGCTACAGCGGTGGAATGGGGAATATGAGAACTAGTAGAACACATGGAAACACTGTCAGGCAGATTGTTATGCCCAGCTTCATCTGAGCTGGTGCATGGGAGCACGAAGTTTCTATGGTGTTGTAGGAAGATACTGGCGCCGGCGGCCTGTGCACACATGATAATTGTGCACAATTGGTGGCTTCCAGTAACATTCAAGCAGCTGATCGTTGGAAGGACGGTTTAGATGTATATCACACAAATGGGTTGTTCGTAGTAAAGGTCTGACAGACTTGCATGCAAGTGCGCTCTGGCAAGTCAGAGGCCATGCTGAACAGTGGTAAGCAATGCCGGCACTGTCTGTGAAGCATATCAAAGAAAGGTTGTATCCAGGTGACTGCTGGAACTCACTATATATAAAGCAAATTTTAAAGCTAAAGGGCACCTCTGCACACCGCCCGAACCTGCAAAGAGACTCGCTTACCACCTGAAGTCAGTCCCTGAGATCATCTGGCCATGTCACTGGACAACGTCGATATTATCAAGCAAGACACAACTTCTGTGCGATCTAAGAACCGCATAACCAGGCAGAATATTCCTGTCCATCCAGAAAGCTATGTAGGAGACTGCTACTTCTGCATATATTGGTGCTTGCAGTTGGGCCAATACTGGCTCCATCATGATCAAGATGTTGATATGCCCACAACATACGTGTGACAGCTGTTTTGGCCAGAAATGGAATGAATGAAACCAAATGAGGTATGCGGATATGGACAAACAGATATCTTGACAGATGGTTGGCCACATGCCTCAAAATCCTCTGCAGCATACAATCTGCAGACCAGTCTGCTGGGCACCCGCCAACAGAAGAATTGGTGTAAGTATGTACAGTGCCCTGGGGAGCTCATCAGTGGGGTGAGGAGGAAAACATTGGGCTTGAAGCGCCACGCAAGGTGGGCGAGGTCAGCGACAGATCATCAGAGACTGAGCGTCCGGCAGCAGCGGCAAATCGAGCGCCCAGATGCTGCAACGTCACCTCGTTGCTGGTGCCTTCTGCTATGCCTGACAGGCTTTCCACCTGCACAGGCACGCATGATGTGGTTACGACACTTGCCACAAATATGAATGGGGCACTTGAAGCATTTGAGGGCACCTTCAGAACATGCAACTGTTAGTGGCATGGCACCTACTCGCCACGCCAGGCAGAGCAACGAGAGCGGACGTGCACACCTTGACAACTTTACGGTGTGCCTTGCGTGAAAGGAAAGGGCGCAACATCGTGAGGAAGGCCTTGAGCGCCTTGCTGGGCCTCACAAGGATGATGTACTTGACATTCTTGCGGAAGGGCCTCGACAGACCCCGGTAGGCTGACACCAGCCAGCTGGCCTGCAGGCGGTTGCCCTTGTGGCTGCGCCCAGTATTCACCATGACCAGCACATAAGGCCCCTGCAGCAGCCCAGCATCTTGGTCAGCCTGACGCTGTGCGAAATCACCATAGCATGCCTCGATGCCGAGCAGGCCAAGGTGTGCCACTTGAACAGCTCAACTGGGGTGTGGAAGAGGAGCCACCTGGCTGACCACGGGCTCCAGCTGGTGCAGCAGATACTGGATGGCGGCCTTGCGGGCGCCTTTCTCCTCAGCCACAGCATCCGCGTTTATGACCACCACCGGGCGGGCAAGTGAGTCGAGGCCGTCATAGTACAGCAGCCCCTGGAGCTCTGGTGGCTCCACAAATTCCTAACACAATAACAGAGTAAGCCGTCAAGATGGCGCCTGTGAGCAGTTGACGAGCCTGAGTGTCATGAAGGACAGGTGAATTCAGCGAGGAGGCAGTCACCCCAATAGGCGAGAACCGCTGCAGGGGCGCTGAGCCGGGCGGAGGTGAGAAGGGTCGTGTGCGCGGCTCAAAGCTGTCCAGGGCGCTCTGCATTGCTGTGGCACCGGAGCTAGCCTGCTCCGACACCTGCTGCGCCTCTGCCTGCTCGAGGCATCCCTCGTGTGCTTGGACAAGCTCTTCATGTCTCTACAACGATCATTTTGCAGGCCTCGCGAGTCACGAGCATGGTATCGTGTCGCACCATGGCCCGATCTGCAGAGCGTGACTCGTCCGCCAAGGACACAGAATAGCGGCTGAGGTCCATGCCGGCATTGTGGCTGACTGTCTTATGCTGCTGCTCCTGAAGAGCCAGTGCCTCTGCTTCTGCCTCCAAGGCTGCAAGCTCCTGCGTTGCAGAGTCACCGTTCCTCGCACAGAAGGCAGAGTGCATCCTTTCCAGAACAACACCCCCACAATCTCGTGAGGCCAACACTGTCATGATTATAGGTGGAACCGCACATCTGCAATGCGCTGCTCCTCAGCCTCTGGTGACACAGCCTGTGCGTTTGCAGGCTCTGCAGATCCCTGGTTCATGGTAGTAGAAGTCCGACTGTCTGACTGCGAATTGTGTTCCAGAGCGCAGGCAGCAACTCCGCCGAGCTGCTGTGCAATGGGAGGTGGGGCTGCTTTCTGTTTATCACCACCATTCGTTGTCTCGACTGTGACCGCAAGGGATTGCGCCAGTGGCCGCTGTGAAGAGGGGGCTTCAACAGCTTGGCCATCGAGCTGTTCCTTGATCTCTGGTGGTGCGCCTTCTGACCTGCCATTGAGCTTCTCCGCAACAGGAGCTTCCTGTGGTGTATTAGTATTACGCTGCTTTTCTGCACCGTTTGGCTTGAAAGTCTCCATGCCTTTGCAAGGCTTTCCAGGACTCACTTGAGTCAGGCCACTCTCTGACGCAGCTCCTGCTGAATCTCCTTCGTATTGTTCACTGTCTTCATGTGGGCGTACATCAGCAGCAGAGATGGTGGTTGCCTCTGATTCTTGTCGAAGGCTCTCATCATCATCTTCGTCCCCAAGTGTGAACACGGACTCATCAACCTGATTCCCAAGCAGCCTATTCATACTGCCCATACACCAGGATCAGAAGGAACTTTCGAGAAATGATTTTTCTGTTGCTGTCACTGGACAAACATCCCGCGAATTGAATGCTAGGGCCAATGTATCCAATAACATGCCCCGTGGAACGTCGGGAAAAGGAAGAACGAATGGCATGCGATACCGAGTAAGCGGGTACGCAATGTCTTTCCGACACGCGAGTTCTTCGGAACGTCCCTGATGGGAAGTCCAGCTTGAGAGCATCGAGGACCTATTCAGGCTTTCACTCGGCTGTCCCTCTGAATTGATCAGCTGCAAGGGCGGCCATTGGCAATGGCACTCGCAACCATCCTGGAGCCTAGGGAAACAGCAGAGAGGACATGATCGCAGTTATGAAGGCAAGCGCGCAATGGAAGCAAAAAAAAGTTTCACGCGCGAAACAAAAATTGGTGCGCTCGAGAGAGGGTTCGAACCTCTGACGTTCTGCTTAGGAAACAGACACTCTATCCACTGAGTTACACGAGCATCACAGCATGCCATTTCACGTATTTTCACAGTATATGGATATTAACCTTTCTATAAGGTGACTAATTGCTTCCTGCTTCAAAACCGCTCTTCTTTGCGAAATATTTCAAGGCTACTGGAAGAGCCTGGACTGATAGAGCTTAACAGAGGACGAATTCCGTATGGCTAACTGCAACAGCTGAAAGGGTATTTTGTTTGGAACTGTCCGATTTGAGGAGAATGTCTGGCTCTGAAGAGTTGGAGGGCAGTGTCCCACCCTTGGGCGAAGATATCCCCGATGATGACTGGGATCTCGCAAACGCTGATGGAGCTACGGGCACTGAAGAGGATGATGGGGATGTAGAGAGCTATGACACGGAAGACGAGGATCCTCTCCCAGATGATGTGAGTCTTTTGGGGCGTCAGCCAATGCCTTCAAAAGCCGATGAATTTCGCCTGCTTCTGCAAAAGATGACACGCATCTTGTCGTCCTTACCTATCGCTTAATCCTTGTGCATGCGAATCCTTTGCCGCTGGTTGTGCACAACGCATCACTGTGAAAATAATCTGCATCATACGTATAACCAATGCAGGTGATTGGTGGTACTGATGCTGAGAAAGCTGAAATAGCACGGAAAGAGCGGGAACGCCTGCGCTTGCAAGCAAAGTACAAGAAGGACCAGCTCGACAAGGTCAGGGATCTGCAGAATCAGGATACAGCTACTGGAGAGGTGAGCAGGACTTCCATTGACAGATATCTTCGCGCGGATGTTCACACTTTTAATCATGCAGCTCTGCTTTAAAACATGATACACGATTGCAACTGCTTCACACTGACTGGTGCACTATTCAACAGGAGGAGAGGGGCAGGAAGCGGCTGCAATTCCTTCTCAAGCAGGCGGAGGTATTCCAGCACTTTGCACCAGCGGCCAGCGAGAGAGAAAAGAAGTGCGATTTCAACCTCCAGCTCTACTGCATGTGTTTGCAGTGCTGCAATTTGTTTGCCTCTCCTGAGACTTTTCATGATTGCGTATGTCACTATCTCGGCTGCTGCAGGAAAGGGAGGGGCAGACATGGTGCCAAGTACACAGAGGAACAGGAGGATGCCGACCTGCTCAAGGATGAGGTGGGCGGCAGCGACAATGTGCCTCACAGACTCAGCCAGCAGCCCAGTGTCATCAAGCACGGCATCATGCGTGAGTACCAGATGCAGGGCCTGAATTGGCTCATCCACCTCTATGACAATGGCATCAATGGAATTCTGGCCGATGAGATGGTAAGCCCCTCGGCACTCACTCACATCACATGCTCCTGGAAATAGCAACAGTGTTGCAAGGCTGCCAGTCAACGTTCCCGCAGAGCATCCTGATGCACATGAGATAAATTGACGGCTGCAGGGACTAGGAAAAACACTGCAGACCATCTCATTGCTGGGGTATCTTCAAGAGTACCGCGGCATCCATGGTCCCCACATGGTCATTGTGCCCAAGTCCACTCTGCACAACTGGATCAACGAGTTCCGCAAGTGGTGCCCGTCCATCCGTGCCGTCAAGTTCCATGGCAACCAGGATGAGAGGGTACGCACACACTCCCACTGTTTACAGCACACTATAGAGATTTTGCACATCTCTACATACCACCAAACAGTCTCCAATCGTGGCTGGCCGGTTTCCTGGTGATAATCAGATAGAACGTCACGATTGTATCCTGCAGGCATACCAGAAGGAGCAGATAGTAGCTGTGGGCAAGTTTGATGTGGTGGTCACCAGCTACGAGATGGTGATCAAGGAGAAGAACCACTTCAAAAAGTTCCACTGGCGCTATATCATCATCGATGAGGCCCACCGCATCAAAAACGAGAATTCCATTCTGTCTCGGGTACGGCAGAAATCTTTTGGAGGCTTGGTGTCCTGATCTGCAGTGGGCCTGCCTGACCAGAATCTGAAGCACTGATTGTGCTTTGCAGGTAGTGAGGACGTTCAAAACAAACTACAGGCTGCTCATCACAGGTACAGCTATGGCATAAAATGTTATTCTGTAACAATTTTATGTTATTGCGAAACCCTTGTCTCTTGCTTCAGCCTTTTTCAATCAGTTGCTGAACTACAACTGCACTGCAGGCACGCCTCTGCAGAACAATCTGCACGAGCTGTGGGCGCTGCTCAACTTCCTGCTGCCCGAGGTGTTCTCAAGCGCTGAAAAGTTTGACGAGTGGTTCAACGTACAAGACAAGGATTCTGAGGCTGAGGTGGTCAGCCAGCTGCACAAGGTGAGCAGCGCAGTGGTATTTCTGAATGGTTGTGCCTGGAGCGAAAGACTGTTCGACAGGCAAGAATTCTATGCACTGCTACTTGCGCGTTTATTGGTTGAGAGTCTTGTATATTCCCAGGTGCTGCGGCCTTTCCTGTTGCGGCGGCTGAAGAGCGATGTGGAGAAGGGCCTGCCGCCCAAGAAGGAGACCATCCTCAAAATCGGCATGAGCGAGATGCAGAAGAAGTTCTACGCTGCCCTCCTCCAGAAGGTGTGCATTCATGCCTGTGGCTCGCATATTGATTTTGCTCGTGACCTTGGATGGATTGCAAGCCTTCCATTTCAGGCGTGGGAGGCAGAAATGTGCGCTGACCTGGATGTGTAAAATTGCAGGACATTGAGGCCATCAATGGAGGTGCAGACAGGTCGAGGCTGCTGAACATTGTGATGCAGCTGCGCAAGTGCTGCAACCACCCCTACCTGTTCCAGGGGGCCGAGCCTGGGCCACCCTACACTACCGGCGAGCACCTCATCGAGAACTCAGGTCTTCCTCTGTTCCGTGCACCTTGCCAGTGCATGTCACTCACATCCCATCTCACTGATGGCAAGCATGTCACAGCTGCATGCACACAGCTCCAAGATTGGACACAGGCCACATGCCTGTGGGCATCGAGTCTATGATTGCAAGTCAGTAAGAAATGCCTTCAAGTAATGGTTATTTGTGCAGGGAAGCTGGTGTTGCTGGACAAGTTGCTGCCCAAGTTGCAGTCGCGCGACTCGCGCGTGCTCATCTTCAGCCAAATGACGCGCCTGCTGGACATCCTGGAGGACTACTGCCTCTACCGTGGCTACAAATACTGCCGGATTGACGGTGACCCCCATCGCGTCACCTGTGCCTTGTCCCTTCCAAGCTTGGAAGCTTGCCCTTGACGGAAGAAATTCTGTGAAAGGATTCAGTTTGCATGGGAACTTCTGCAGTCAATTTGCATATACCTGCACTCTTGACGTGTAGTATTGTGCAAGTGCGCACGATGGGGAAATGCCCATAACTTCAGTGGGCTTGCACGCACAGGTAACACCTCAGGAGAGGATCGTGAGTCGCAGATTGATGGCTTCAATGCAGAGGGCAGCGAGAAGTTCATCTTCCTGCTCTCCACTCGTGCCGGTGGCCTGGGCATCAACCTCTACACCGCCGATGTTGTGGTACATTCCCTTGCAGAGGCTCACCCACCTTCATGATTCTCACTCTGGTCCCACCATAAACTCCTTATCAAAGTCAGGATGATTATTATATATGCTAAGCATGCATTAGCAAGCCAGACTGGCAACAATCTCTGTATCTGACTTCAGCTCATTCATGAATGAATAGCCTTGCATTTGTATGATGTGGTCTTGTACAAAGCATATCATGTGGAGTGGTTGTGCTGCAGGTGCTGTTCGACTCGGACTGGAACCCGCAGATGGACCTGCAGGCCATGGACCGTGCGCATCGCATCGGGCAGAAGAAGGAGGTGCAGGTGTTCCGGTTCTGCGTGGAGAACAGCATCGAGGAGAAGGTCATCGAGAAGGCCTACAAGAAGCTGCGCCTGGATGCGCTGGTCATCCAGCAGGGGCGCCTCACCGAGAACACCAAGAGCGTCAACAAGGATGATCTGCTCGCCATGGTCCGCTACGGAGCTGAGCTGGTGTTCTCCTCCGAGGTACGCGACCTGCCAAACCATGCTGTCGTCACACCAGCATTGTATGGTTCTGTTGGTAGTCCTGCAGAGAGCTGTGCATGCACAAATGAAATGCCTCAGATTAGCTGTGCACAAGCGCAATATGTTGTGGGCAGCTGTTGAATTCCCTGAGTGTTGAGCTGCTCTGCTAAGCTGACACCATGGGATGTGTGCAATGTGCAGGCTGCAAACATCACGGACCAAGACATTGATGCCATCATTCAGAAGGGCCTTCGCGCGACAGACGAGCTGAATGAGAAGATGAAGCAGTACTCGGAGAACGCCAAGGCCTTCACCCTCGACGGCGGTTTCACCGCATACGAGTACAAGGATGAGGACGACATGCCGGATGAACTCCCCAACTTCAAGCAGCTCGCTGGTGACCTGCCAAGCTTTGAATCTCACTTCCTAGATGTGCAGATCTCAAGCTTGTGCTGACAAGTGGGTGACCTGATCGCCACTCTGTGGCGAGAAATGCTCTTGTGAACCCCTTCAAGACCCTGACATGCGTGGTGTGGCCGGGCAGGTTCCAACTGGATTGACCCGCCCAAGCGCGAGCGCAAGCGTGTGGTAAACTACGCGGAGAACGAGTACTTCCGCCAGGCCATGAAGTCCGGCACTGGGCCGCGTGCCTCTGGCCTGCGCCTGCCCAAGATGCCCCAGCTGCAGGTCTGCCTCCCCATCTGAGCACCTTGAGTGTACGCTTGGCGCCTTGCAGTGTGACATGGGTACAGGCAGAAATGCTAAGACTTGGATTGGTAGAGTTGCTCAGACAGTATGGAATGCTGCTGCAGGACTTCCAGTTCTTCAACGTGCCGCGCCTGACGGAGATCTTTGACAAGGAGCAGGCCTACGAGCTCTACAAGCACACCCAGGCCCAGAAGGAGGCCGCCGCTCGCCAGCAGGTGCTCACATTCAAGCTGCCTTTCGCCAGAGAGCGGCCCGCTCCGGACGGCCATGTTGTGATGGAGGCTATAGAGCGAAGATAGTGCAGGGCTGTTGAGGTCTCAGTTTGCGGGCCTGATTCTGCAGGAGGTGTCAAATATTTTTGCG